GGAGACTGTCTGGCATCTTAACTATGTGGGTCTCTCCTCTTGTCCTCACAGTAGGTCGGCTGAGGGAGGGAAGTGGGATGGCTGCATCAGCGGGTCATTGCCCGGGGCTGTGGAATTGTGGGCTCGAAACACTGGTCAGCACACAAAACCCACTTTTTCTACAATCCAAGAGAAAGAGGCTCATGAGGTCCCGAGGCCTGCTCGTTTCACACAGGTGGTTAGTGGCGGCACCTGATGGGAGAGCCCTGTAGACTCCCCATAGGGAGACCACTGTCTCAGTGGCCTCAGGTGTTTCTCTGACACATTGAACCTTGTGGATCTCCCTCATCTCCCTTTCCAGGACAAAATAGTGGGGAAAGTACTGGCCTGGGCACCAGGAAACGGCTTGCCACTGTTCTGCCCTGTCACTGAAGCAGTGCTTGGCCTGGGCAACACACGCCTGTCTTTCAAGTGCCTGATTCAGAGTCCCTACATGGTCAGCAGATCCTGCCTGCCAGGATCCAGAGCAGCTGGGAGCGTCCTTTGCAGAGTGTGCGGTTCTCACTAGCGCGGTGGTGGCCTCATTTCTTTCTGACAGACTCCTTTCACTAATTTATGCTCATGGTAGTAGAAGGCACTCATCCCCGTCTTTCCTGCCCTCCACTGCAGTTTCTCAGGGCCACTCTCACTTCTGCTCTGTCCCAGGTTCCTCTTGTCCCTTTGCTCAGGATCTGCCCTCACACCAGGCTTTTTCCCAGACCACCCTCCCCAATCCTCAGCCGCACCAGACCATGGCAGGCCCCGGGGGGTCGGGCAAAGCCTAAAAGGCCCCTTTCTCAACAAATGTCCATTCTCTCTCCCCTTTTCTGCTGGCAGGATGGGCAACACTCCAGATTCAGCCTCAGACAACCTAGGCTTCCGCTGTGCTTCCAGCGCAGGCCGACCGCCTGAGGAGCTGTGAGCGGCCACTAGAGACACGAGACAAGTACCTAGGCCACAACTTGGCCATATTCCAAACACAGCTGAACTCGTGCCACGCTCCTCGACTTCAGCCTCAGCAACGACCTCCTTTCCCCGCACCCTCCCTCTGTGGCTGGCACCTCTCATCAGGGCAGAGGACCCTAATCTCAGAGGAGGGTGCCACTGCCTCTTGCAGAGTCCCCCACCCTCAGCACAGCTGAGAACTGGCTATATATTTGGAGGTCAGGAATTAACAACATAGGGGCCAAACACCCAAATAGTTAGAACAGAGTGCTCTGAAAGGTAGTTTGCTAACAATTTCTAAATCTGCTTCCTTCCCCTCTCTCATGCCTGATTCAGTGTTGCCTCAAGGCAGAATTCCCCTGTTCTTGGGACCAGCAGTTAGCATAATGGCTACATCGCTAGATTCCCATATAGTTGACCACGGTTCGAGTCCCGGACCCAGTGGCTTAAACTCAAGCCAGGCGCGTGTATATGCGTGCTCAAGATCCTGAGAGTAGAATGGAGGAGAAGGGATTACAGTGTGGCCATCCCCCCGGGGGGTGATTTCTTGCTTTCTGTCTCTGTCTCTCTCTGTCTTTCTGGCAAGTGCATGCACCTTATAGCAAAAACCTCCCCAAAAAAGAAAAAAAGGAAGGAAGGAAGAAAGAACCCCCCTGTTCTTTCTGTATTCCCAGCAAATTACTATAGAAGGGACATGTTCTCTTCTTGCCTCATCAGCAGTGTTTTCTCTCCTCCTAAGGGACCCGATCTCCACCCCTGTAAAATACAGACAGGTGGGCTCTTTAAAGCAGTGTCAGGGCTAGCTCCAGGGCAAGTGATAATGTGTTGCTCAGGAGAAGCCAAATCCCAGATGGCAACTCTGGTTTAAATCCTCCATTTGGGCAGCCTGAAACACGCTGCACACATGTGCAAGTGCCACATCCAGTGGGCTGGAGGGCTGGAGGAGGATCATGGCATGACCAGACTCTGCAGAGGTGCTCATCTCTCTCTTTTCCTCTCCCGTGTACTCACACATGCTCTATCATAAATAAATTTTTTTTAAAAAATCAAGACCAGCAAGTAGCAGAGTGATTAAAGTGCTGGACTCCCACGTGGCTGACCACGGTTCAAGTTCCAGACCCAGCGGCTTGAAACTCATGCCAGGTACATGTGCTCGTGTGCCCAAAATCCCAAGAAGAAAATGGAGGAGAAGGGATTGCGTCAGGGCCATCCCCACTAAGGGGTGATTTCTCAACTTTTGTCTCTCCAGTGAGCCTTATAGCAAAAATCTCTCAAAAAAATTTTTAAAAAAGAATAATGTCAGACTTAAAGGGGTCTGGGAGAACCAGATGATTTACCAGGTGGGCCATGGACTAATGGTTAAGGGAGCTGGATCCCACATGACCCACTCTGGTTTGAATCCTGATCGCCATGGTTTGAAAAACATTGTTGCATGTGTGTGCCCCAAATCCCTGTGGGACCAAGAAGTGGAGGAGATGTGATCACAGCATGACCACACCCCATGGCCGGCGGCAGGGCGTAGTGCTTCTGCTTCCTTCCCCTCTCTCATGCCTGATTCAGTGTTGCCTCAAGGCAGAATTCCCCTGTTCTTGGGACCAGCAGTTAGCATAATGGCTACATCGCTAGATTCCCATATAGTTGACCACGGTTCGAGTCCCGGACCCAGTGGCTTAAACTCAAGCCAGGCGCGTGTATATGCGTGCTCAAGATCCTGAGAGTAGAATGGAGGAGAAGGGATTACAGTGTGGCCATCCCCCCGGGGGGTGATTTCTTGCTTTCTGTCTCTGTCTCTCTCTGTCTTTCTGGCAAGTGCATGCACCTTATAGCAAAAACCTCCCCAAAAAAGAAAAAAAGGAAGGAAGGAAGAAAGAACCCCCCTGTTCTTTCTGTATTCCCAGCAAATTACTATAGAAGGGACATGTTCTCTTCTTGCCTCATCAGCAGTGTTTTCTCTCCTCCTAAGGGACCCGATCTCCACCCCTGTAAAATACAGACAGGTGGGCTCTTTAAAGCAGTGTCAGGGCTAGCTCCAGGGCAAGTGATAATGTGTTGCTCAGGAGAAGCCAAATCCCAGATGGCAACTCTGGTTTAAATCCTCCATTTGGGCAGCCTGAAACACGCTGCACACATGTGCAAGTGCCACATCCAGTGGGCTGGAGGGCTGGAGGAGGATCATGGCATGACCAGACTCTGCAGAGGTGCTCATCTCTCTCTTTTCCTCTCCCGTGTACTCACACATGCTCTATCATAAATAAATTTTTTTTAAAAAATCAAGACCAGCAAGTAGCAGAGTGATTAAAGTGCTGGACTCCCACGTGGCTGACCACGGTTCAAGTTCCAGACCCAGCGGCTTGAAACTCATGCCAGGTACATGTGCTCGTGTGCCCAAAATCCCAAGAAGAAAATGGAGGAGAAGGGATTGCGTCAGGGCCATCCCCACTAAGGGGTGATTTCTCAACTTTTGTCTCTCCAGTGAGCCTTATAGCAAAAATCTCTCAAAAAAATTTTTAAAAAAGAATAATGTCAGACTTAAAGGGGTCTGGGAGAACCAGATGATTTACCAGGTGGGCCATGGACTAATGGTTAAGGGAGCTGGATCCCACATGACCCACTCTGGTTTGAATCCTGATCGCCATGGTTTGAAAAACATTGTTGCATGTGTGTGCCCCAAATCCCTGTGGGACCAAGAAGTGGAGGAGATGTGATCACAGCATGACCACACCCCATGGCCGGCGGCAGGGCGTAGTGCTTCTCTCTCTCTCTCGCAAGTGCATGCACCCTCTGGTAATTAAGAAAGAAGACAAGATTTACCAGGTGGACCTATGCATTGTAGGAGTCACAAAGTAAATAATACTCCAGAAAGACAAATATCAGAAGCTTCTTCTCTATTAAGAATGTCAGGGCTTCTGTGTGCTTCTGAAAACATGTCCCTGGAGAGTAACCGCCCATGGTGTCACTGAGTGTCATCAGTGAGGTGAGTGAAAGTCCCGTGCTTGTATACCCCAGGCATTTCGCTGTCTTATCCTCATGGTGGGCCTCTAACTCCATCGTTAACTCTGGGCCTTCTGAGAACAGTAACTGAGATGGCAGCACATCGGGTAGTGGAGGAGCAGGAGGGCTGCCAGTTCTCGAACCAAGCATGGTCTCCCTCCTCACTGCCAGGACCTGGCCCAGACTGCATTTGTCACTGTGTGATGGGACACCCAGTCCTGGTGCAAGGCCTTTGAGAGGGGACAGTAGCTTCGATTCCAGGGACAGAAATTCTTGGCCAGGGCCAAGTGCTGCACCTGCACAGAGGCCCACCCTTGGCTTGCTGCCCTGCCTGGCATTTGTGGTTCCCCTCCCCGCCAGTCCCCCGCCCTCCCCCGCCTGCCAGCTCCTCAGTAGTCCTCCTCAACCAGGGACAGCAGCACGGCCTTGGGTGTGTTCTCGAAGAGGGCAGCCCGGTTCTGCTGCTGCCCCTTCTTCACCCAGTGCCCGTAGATGCGGAAAGCATAGGCGTCGATGAGCCGGCGCAGAGGCTTCAGGGCGTAGGGGTCCCGGATGACTATCTCCCTTGTCACTGGCTTCACCCGGCGGTACTGGTAGTAGATCCGCACTGACGCCAGCACCGTTAGAGCGATCACCTGCAGAAGGCCAGGACCCGGAACCCCTGAGCTGGCAGCCCTGCTCCCCTGCAGCCCTTGCCCCTCCAGCACTGGGAGGCCCTGAGCTTGTCTACCACGAAACCTTAGGTACCTTCTGGGCCCTTCCTAGCGTGTCTCCTTTCCTGCCCCACCTGCATCATCTGCCTTCCCTGAAGCCGGAAGTTGATCCTGTCGTGGGTGTGTGGGAGGTGAGGGGCAAGTGCTCTGGAAGCCCTAGAGGGCGTGAGGGCCCCTAGCCAGGGGCTGGAGGCCTGGGCCAGCAGCACCCACCCAGGGCCTGGGTTAGGGACCCTCCAGTACCTTGAACTTGCCCCGCGGGCTGAAGTGTCGCACCTCCTCCACCACGTACTGCTGGAAGAAGGGGTGTGCTAAGGCCTCCTCAGCCGTGCAGCGGCCCTCAGGGCGCACCACCAGGAAGCGAGAAACCTGAGAGGACACGGAAAGACGGGGTGTCCCCTGCAGGCTCCTCCATCCAGTGGCACAGTGTGCTTCCCTCCTGTTGCCCTCTCCTCCCCACCTGAACCAGGAGCAGTAGATAACCTCACCAGGTCTTTCACGGTGTCCGAGTAGTCATCCCATTCAGGCGAGCCGAACTGGTAGTTGCCACTCATGATCATCCTCAGCATCAGCATCTGCTTCCGGTGCCAGAAGGGCGGGGAGCCAGCCAGCAGGGTGTACATGATGACCCCTGTGCTCCACCTGGGGCACCCAGCCGGTGGGCAGGGGAGGGACATGCGAGGGCCCGGCTAGAGCTCCTATTCTTTTCTCCCCTTCCCAGCCTAGTCGGGGCCCCTTCCTCCTTCTTCCACCCCCCACCCTCCACCATCCACTCACATGTCCACCTCCTTCCCGTAGCCCGGATGGTCATCATTCATGGAGCACTCAATGATCTCAGGGGCCAGGTAGCTGGGGGTCCCACAGACCTCTGCAGGAATAGTTACCAGGACAGGTCAGTAGGTGGCACTCAACAGGAAGTCCAAAGAAGCGGTGAACATGGAACGGAATCACAGCTTGGGCTGGACTCCCAGCACTGGCCAACCTCAAGGCCCAGGGCAGGGCAGGGTACTGGCTCCTAGTGTAGGGAGCCAGCCTGGGACCCAGTGGTGTCCTGTCACTCGTAGTCATTCTGGCCTGGAACCAGGGCAATGGGAACCTGGCTTAGTTTAGTTCTGGGAAGAGGACTCTCCTGAAGAGGCACCTAGACCCTGAAATGGTAGGGTTTTCATTCTGAGGCAGGGGGGAGGGGAAAAACCCCATTCCTGGGGAACTGACGAGAGAGCCTGAACCCCTGCCACGGGCTGCGGCCCTGTTACCAGACCTCGCAGCTTCTTCCCAGGCTCCAGCTGGCAGGAGAAGCCAAAGTCTGTGAGCTTGATGTTCATGTCATCATCCAAAAGGATGTTCTCGGGCTTCAGATCCCGATGCACGATGTTGAGCTTGTGCAAGGTGCAGATCACCTCCAGCAGGGCTCTCATGATCTTCCTAGGGTGGAGTAGACACGGTCTCTTCTACTCTGCCAGGGCAGGTGCCAGGTGGGACGCCAAAGCCCAGGTCTTAGCCACACTGCAGGTGAGGGAGGACTCGGGACAGGCTGGGGCCGTCTGGACTGAGCCAAGTAGGAGCAAGGTCTCTAGAGTCAGTTGCACACACGCCTAGCCCGGACAAGAGCACCCTGCGTCTCCTCTGAGACCTTGGTGCCCATGGCACTAGGAGTTGGGGAAGGGAGGGAAGAGAGGACACACGGACCCTCACCTCGTTTCTTTCTCACTCAAGGTGACCTTCTCAGTGAGGTAGTCAAAGAGCTCCCCTCTCTTCATCCTTTGGAAACAGAGGGTTTGTAGCTGGGTTGGCCCCAAGACCACCCCCTTTCCACCCTGCTCTGAGAGAGCCACCTCCACCCTATTACTTCTAATAGAGGCAAAATGGGCCACTCCCCCTGAGGGACCCAGGTCTGGGGAGAGGAGCTGGAGATTGAGTGGAAAAGTTATCCGGAAAGAAGTAGAGAAAGAGCCAAGGAGAAGTAGGATATGTACCAGGGTGAGGGGCCTCATATGTGGAAGTGACAGTGGACTGGGAGCTTTAGGGCCCCAGACCCAGGTCACAAGGACATGAGTATCCTGATTTTTTTCCCCAGGGAACAAATAGAATCGACAGGTCCAATGTTGGAGGAGCAGTTTGTTACAGGATTAAGAATTGCAGTTGTGGGACCAGCAGATGGTGTAATGGTTATGTTGCTGGACTCCCACATGGCTGACTGTGGTTTGAGTCCCAAACCTGGCAGCTTGAAACTCACACTGGGCATGTATGTGTGCGTGCCCAAAATCCCAAGAAGAGAATCCCAAGGAGGAGAAGGGGTTGTAGCATGGCTATCCTCCCTGGGGGTTGATTTCTCTCTTTCTGTCTCTCTGGGGAGGGCATGGCTCTATAGCAAAAATCTCTCTTAAAAGAAAGTAAGTAAGAAAGAAAGAAAGAAAGAAAGAAAGAAAGAAAGAAAGGAAGGAAGGAAGGAAGGAAGGAAGGAAGGAAGGAAGAAAGAAAAGAAAGAAAGGAAAGAATTGCAGCTGTGGACCAGCCAGTGGTGTGATGTTTAAGGCAACTGGATCCTATATGGCTGGCTATGCAGTTTGAGCCCCTGACCCAGCAGCTTGAAGAGCACTCTGGGGGCATGTGCATGTGTGCCCCAAATCCCTAGAGAATGGAGATGAGACTGTGATATGACTATCCTGCTGGGGCTGATTTCTCACTTACCCTCTCTTCCTCTCCCTCCCAACCCCCGCAAACACATGTCCCCTATGGCAAACTAAACAAACAAAAACAAACAAAAAAACCCAGTTTCATCTTCTTACCTCTTGGGATGGTCTAGGAAAAGGTCCCTGCTAGAACAATCTAGATGTACCCCAGAGGGCTCCTCAGGCCAGCATTAAAAATAACTTTCCCAAGCAAACTCTTCAAAGGTTACAGACATTTGAGATGCCCAAGGGCTGCACAGGACGGTGCCACTGAACAGAGCTGGGACAGCTGCAGCTGGGCTAGTCCAGAGGGTCCTAGGGAAGTCTCCCTTGGTTAGGGAGGAAGGCACATCCTGCCCCTTGCCTGCCCCTCCAGGGAAAGCGGTAGGATTCCTCGGGCACAAGGAGAGGGGAATGAACGGAGGAACAAGGTGTCTGGCCGGCATTGGAGGGAGGGCTGAGAACCCTCGGGCGTGGCTGGTGGGGTGGGAGGGAGTTCTGAGGAGACAAGCTAGGATTCACAGGGGCAGCCTTTTATGCACTACCGGTGCTATATTCCCAATAGGCACTGTGTGTATTTAGTTTTTATCATTTTAGTTTATTTGAAAGGTGCTAGGAGAACCCACTGTTAGCAGTGGTCACCAACATTTACCAGCAAACCCTGGGGACCACACAGGGCACCTCAGTGGGCCCCGCCTTCCTGCAGCTGCCCATACACACGTGCCCAGTTCAGTTGTGTCTCAGAGCCCAGTAATACTGCACGTACACAGCGTGGCTACAGTACGAAATGTTCCAACAATACAAGGTCTATTTGAATAATTTTCTTAATTCAGTCCCTAAATTAGCTGTTACTTGTGGAGCAATCGAGACACCCGATTCACGTCGCAGCACAGTTCTCTAGTGAGGACTCAGTGGAGTGGGGGAAGCAAGTGGTTGGAGAATTCCTTTCCTTAGGATTTTTTTTTTTTTAATTTGCCAGCGGGTGTGTGCACTCACCAGAGAGAGAGAGAGAGAGGGAGAGGGAGAGGAAAAGGGAGAGGGAGAGGGAGAAAGCACTCTCGATGGGGTATGGCCATACCACAATCCCTTGTCTATCATCTCTTCCCTTGGGGATCTTGGGCACACATACATGCCTGGTGTTTCTCAAGCCACTGATCCAGGACTGGGATTTCATGGTTGGCCATGTGGGATCCAGCTCCTGTAACCACCAGGCCATAGGCTGGTCCTGGGAACCTTTTCTACTAAAAATAATGATACAGGGGCCGACAGGTGACATAGTGGTTAAAGGTGCTGGACTCTCACATGACCGACCATGGTTTGAGTCCCAGACCTGGCGGCTTGCTTTCTCACTTTCCCTCT